ACTCTAACACCACAACTTAAAAAACTTAGCCCCCCGTATTTTAGCTAGGTAAAGTATATAACTGTTAAGATGATATCGGATCATAGACTGGTAACATTTTTGAGATATAGTCTTTATATAGATTAGTTCATCAAGGAAATTACGATCAAAACTTCCTTTGATTAATTTTTTTTAATGAATTATAATAAAAATTTAGTTGCTTCATAAACAAAATGTAAAAAAATTAAAATAGAATACTAATAAAGGTAGTTTTTGATTTTTGAAATCGATAAAAAATATTGGTAAATTAATCTTTTAAATATATAAATTTTTAAGCCTATATCGTACTTGTACAATTACTCTCATTAAATAAACTTTCTTTTATGATCGATTTTTTTTTTTTTGTAAAAGGATTTTTATTTAACGTAACAAAAATTAATTTCTGTACTTTTCATGAAATATATGAAATTGGAATTGAAATTGAAACAAATATTAGTAATTTAAAATTTTATGATTACTTCAACATTATCATAAATCGTTTGAATAATTATTTTATTAGGATAAAATGTAAATTTTGTTAGATTTTTAACCAAATTTTTAAAAATTTCCTTTGTTTGTAAATGAATTTCAATTGCTGGTTTGATTTAATATTAGTCGGTCAATTTTAGTTTATTCCAATCTTCAACGCTAAGTTTTTGAGAAAGAGATTGTGAATAATCAAGTCGTTTACTGGTAAGCAAATTTTGTGATTTTTTCAGGGGTATTGGATTTGTGGCCAATTCTGCTAATCGTGCTCTAAACTTGTCTTCCCGTTCCTGACTAAATGCTTCTTTAATTTCTAGCTTTCGATCCTCAATTAAATTGTTATTATTATCCAAAACGCTAAATAGATTCATAAACTGGATACACAATTCATTAGCTGTTGGACGATTGGTGGGGATGTGATCCCAACAACGTTTCATTAATTCAGCATATGGTTCAGGTGTATATTCTGGAATTTGTGGACGTTGACCATAACAAATAGCCAAAGCCAAATTCTCATCATACTCTCTATCAACAAAAGGTGGTTCACCACTAATCAATTCTGACATTATCATTCCAAACCCATAAATATCTGCTGCTTCAGTGAATTCTTTACCAAGTAAAACCTCTGGTGCGACAAATGGTAAGACACCATATAGTGTTTTATCTGTAGAACTTTGATCCATAGGACAACACAGACCAAAATCTGAAATTACTGAACCGCCGATAGTATTATCAGAGTAAATTTTATTCAAGATGTTGCCACTGTGGAGATCCTTGTGGTAGCATTTTGATTCGTGAACAGAATCCAGTCCTTCGCTAATTCTGTTTAATATTTCTAGGATGTTTTCCCAAGTTAGATTACTGTAATTTTCTTTAATCATTTTCCTTAGATTACCACCATTTTTGAATTTATTTACAATAGCGTATTCTCCATTTTGCGGATCACGAGTCACTCCATAAATTCGAATAGTTTCAAAGCCACCATTCTTATTATTCATTTTTAGATTAGAATTAACCTGCAATATATTTAATTTATTTTGTGTAAATATTTGTTTTTATTCATAAAAATCTTCATACATAATTTTAATATTTTAATTACCTCATTTAAAAAATCTGAGCTGAAAATAGTCACATTCTGAAATTTCTTTACTGCCACTTCCTCTTTATTCTCTCGTTTCCATTCTGATTTATTCAGATCCCAAGCTTGACCCCTCACGATTGGACCATCTTTCCAAATTGCTTTATAAACACTCCCAAACCCACCATGAGCAATAAGTTCAATATTTTCAAGATTTGAATATTCAATCCATTCAATTATATCCAATCTAATTGTTGCATTAAGTTGTGAATTTTGAATAAGTTTGTCAAGATTTGAATCACCGCTGGTCCAATGTATAAAATTATTGCGAAAATGTACAGAGTTGCACGGTTTGCAATAATTAAAATTATCATTTCGACCACATTCTTGACATTTGTTCATCCTTATTAATTTTTATTTTGAAACTATCTAAAAAGTAAATTTTAATATTCTTGTAATGGGCAGTGTATAAATTTAAATTTACGGATTGAATACAATGAAAAGTTGGTTAGTAATACTTTATATTAAATAAAAAAGGTTTACATGTGGCATGATCAATAGCCAATAATCTTATCCAACAAGTACACGTTTTTGAAATGTAAATTCAATATGGAATAGTTTACCTAGCACAAAAAGCTCTTCACGTTTTTACGCACTCGGATGATCTTCACTATAAAATTAGGTGAACTAAAAATACTGTATATTAAAATATAATAAAAATTTATAAATAGATTTATTTTTTTAAACTAAAATTTATGATAATCAATAAGCAATAAAACTCTCTTTCTTTTTTTTTAAAAAAATTAACATATATATATATCAGATTGGAAACTGCTTCACTCTTTATAGTTTATCTTCAAAACATTAAAACCAATTTAAAATTTATATAAAATAGAAATTTTGTAATTCTAATATTTAAATGAACGTTAATAAAATATAGCTTTTAAGCCCTAATATACAAAATTTAGGAATTTAGTTTTATAATATTAATTTTTTTTTTTTCATTCGTTGTAAGAAGTTTTATTATATATAAATAATTTTGTTATAATTTAAATACCTTGAAGAATTACTGTATTTGAAATAAAAGTTTTTTTTTTTGAACCTCAAAGACGTCTAATCACCATTAAACTTTTTCTTCTTTAAATTCAAAAAATGGTTAGAAAAGCATTTTCTTAAACAATCTTTTTTATTTGATCTAAAATGAACAAAGGTTGTTTTTTAATGCATGAAAAAAGTAAAAGAACTATCAAAGAAAAAAAAAGAATGTTTAGAGTTATTATTCGTTTCATCTGAATTTTCTAAACTTTTTTTTTAAATAGCAAAACTAATTTGAAATAAATTTTAGTAGATTCGGATGCAGTTACACAATAAATTATATGCTTATATCATTCCGACATTTTTACATTGATGATAATTAATTAATAATTTAAAATATTTTTAACAATTTATTTTGTATTAAAGTATAAAAAATTTTAAGAAAACCTTGTACTTGACGTGGAGATAGATTGATTAACTGGAAGAAATTATGAAGATACAGAAATAGAAAGTAGAAATGAAGGAGATAGTAACATATTTCAGTGATCATATAAAAACAATTACAGCTACCATTACTTCCAAGTTGGCATATCATATAATTCGAATCAAAAATCGATAATAGAAAAAATATATTCATCTCAATCCCTTATTATAATGATAGTGATGATGTACAAATGTTTATAGGTAACTTAAGTTTGGGCTAAATGTTCCCGAGAGCGTTAAGCCTCGTAATGTAGATTGACTTACAGTAGATTAGATCAGTTTTTTTTCACTATAACTTTCAATTACATATATTTTAATGGAATTTATAAAATTTAATAAATAGGTAAATAAATAGCAATTTACTAATAACCTACAAAATCCTATAATTCAAGCAAGGAAAATTTTTTTTTCAAATTATTACCTCCGAAATTTCGCAATATTATAATCACGTGATCTGATAATAAAATTTTAGCTTCTAATATTTATATTACATGTTATAATAATATGAAATAAGCTAATTAATTATTTTAATTATTATTCCTTTTTTTCCTTTTTTTGTCACCATATGGCTTAACCTGACGCGTATTTAAATATCCATAAAATACATTATACGTAAATAATTATGTACTTCATTTTCATCAGCGTAAGTAATAATGTTATACCTTTATTCTATTTTATCGATCGTGCTACTTTATAATTTTTGGTAATATTTGTTGAATTATTTCTAACGTATGATAATATTTTATTCTTTAAAATTTAAAAAATTCAACAATTGTCTTTAACTAATTACTTTTTTTATTGTCAGGTTCGTAAAAAAAGGAAAATTAAAGAGATATTAAGCATATCAAAAATTTTGGTAAAACAAATTTAGCAATATACTCGTATATTGCTGTAAAGACTGTAAAGAATAAATTTATGTTTAACTTGTAACGTTTAACTGTTAATACAATATAATATTTAATTTTGCTAATTTTTATAATTTTAAATTCGCTTTAATTTTTTAAAGAGCTAATTTAATTATTAAACACGTTAATGCCTTAATGGATTAAAAATAATTATTGTGAAACCTTTTTTTTTTAAAAAAAAAAAAAAATGAAGGATATAATAAAGCTAATAAAATTAAAATCATATCTCTAATTCCATTAAAAATAAGAAACCGGGTATGTAAGCTCTATCAATTATTTTTTATTTCTTTTGTGAGAAATTTTTTACTAACTGATGGGAAAGAAAAATAGAACGCAAGAAAGGGTAAAATATGAGAAAATAATTTATTTTGTTCGTAAATATAATTATTAATTATACGCAAGCAAATTTCAATATTACATTTTAAACATTACATAAAAAAAAATATTATAAATGTCATAAAAAGAAAACTATTTTTTTTATTGTACTATAATGTAAGTTTTACAAATTAATTTTGTAATTGCCATAATATTAATTTTATTCATTTATTACTTTTCGAGATTCAAAACAAATTTTTAATATAATATTTAACACGAAAAATATCTTGATTTTCAGTTCTTTAAAACCATAACTTTTTTTCATTGCAAAAATTATTATTTGAAAAACATATTCATTTTTACTTTCTCATATGATTAAGTATTACGGCCCTACCACAAAGGGACTTCCTAAGAAGTGTACTATGCTCCTTCCATGAAAATTACGCATAGCACCATGCCGTACCACAACCAACCGGTCCTATCGCAGGACTACAGCAGTAACTGGTACCCACGAGCTTACTAAAAGTAAGCGCCTATGCTCCAACCCTCGCATAGTACTATACCGCTCCAAAAATTTCCCAACCAGCCCTACCGTGAGACTGCAGCAAAAGCTGGTACTCACAGGCTTACAAAGTAAGCACGCTATGCTCCCACCCATGCATAGCATCATGCTGTTCCAACAAAATACCCAAAACACTATTTGAACATGCTACTATGAAATTTAAGCGTATGTGGCGACGAAAAGGAAAGTATAATAAAATGTATATGGACAAGAGAAAGGGTGTGTAGAGGAAGAGAAAGAAAAGTGTGAGAGGGAAGAGGATGAAAAGTTTAAGTTAATAAATGTGGAAAGAGGTGAGAGAGGGAAAGAGCGAAAGTCAGAAAGAGTAAGAGGAAAGAGAAGGAAGTATATTATATATATATATAGCTAAAGTATGAAAATTGTGAGTTTATACCATAAAAGATGACTCATCAAATATTGATCATGTAGAATTGTTACGTATATTTTAGGAAAAAAAAAATACATTTCGGTGATTGAAATGTCACGTGATTGTGTGTGCAAGTAATAACAATTATACAATTATCTGTTATGAACTCAGATAGATATTTCCTTTTTAATTTATGGCAGGTACATAATTTAATCGATTGCGATAATTTCATGTGATATTCTTATCTTTTTTTTTTATGGCAATATATACATAGAATTTTATGATGCAAAATGATAAAGTAAATACATGGAAGAATATAAAGTTTCATTGTATTAAATATTGTTGATATATATAAATGTTATTTTATTAGGTTTGATAGTAGATAATAATTTTTTATACATTATGTAAATTTATAGCTGGATAGGGTATACGTTATAATATAGATAACGAAAAAAAAAATAATTATATTATCATAATAAAAAAAAAAATTTGGATTACGGCAATAAGGTCTAATTCAAAGTCTTTAAGCGCCCATCAGTGAGTGCCTGCTTACAAGCTGCACTTAATGCATTTTTGTCTCCATTTTTAATTTGACTTGCAACCGTGCGGCCTACATTGTTGTTATTCAAGTCCATTGCCTTTTCTTCTGGAGGATTATCTGGAGATTCTTCATGCCGATCACCAAAACCCTTTGCACCAGCCACACCGAACTCGAATGTCAATAGTCCACTCCAGTAACAGTGACGATACGCATCTCCAGAACCGTTATGCAAAGTGGATTCAGGAAAATTATTTTGAGCGTTTGTTAATGCTTCATCTGCAAGATTTTTTGCTTTGACGCATTCAAGCGCACGGGACGGATGAAGTATACTTATACAATAATCTTCTTCTGCCTCATTCACTCCACCAATATAATGATCTTGACGGCGAATGAATGTTTCAGGTTCCACTGGAATTGAAAGAATATTGGTAATTAAGTTTTGAAGTATTACGATTATAAGTATTGTTTGATAAATCCAGTTCATGATGGAAATGTCGTTTGATTTTTTTCTTTGATATAATTTAGCTTTAATTTGGCTTTTTTTTTCGTGGGAGGGCGCTTAAATTTATATTTGAATTTCATATATCACGTGTTCCTTGCAAATAATGATGTCACAGCATGTGGTACGCATTAAATGCTTTTTTTTTGGTTAGATTTAATTTATTTTACTTTATCTCATTTTTATTAAAAATTAACTAAAAATGGTCAAAAAATGCTTTGAGATTTTCATAAAATATAAATTGTAATTGTGTCAAGACAATAGAGACAGAGTCAAACAATCAAATATTTATGTCACGTTTTATACATGTTGCCAAGTGTTTCAAACTCTAGAACTTTCGAAAGGAAGAAAGGAATAATATTATATGTTTCATAAATTATGAAGTAGAAAAATAAAATAAAGTATTGTATGAAAGAGTTATTACCAATTAGCGCATATTTGTAAAAAAAAAAAAAAAAAAAAAAATTTTTATTACCAAAATAAATAATCGAAAATAATCGAAAATAATAATAAAAAATATTATTTATATTTAAAGTGAAAATAATCTTTATTGAATCCCAATTTTATGTGAAATAAAAAATGAAATTTTTTTAATAATACTATATTACGAATGAATATTATTATCATTTATAAATAATGTGCAAAGGAGTACCGAAAAATTGATCGACTCATATTTAGAATTGAATCATTCAAAATTTAAATTATTTTTTTCCAAATAAATTATAGTTGACAAAATCTAATAATAATTTTCCTTAAGAAGTAAAAAAATTGTCATTTCATTGATTAAAAATAGTAAATATGATCATGTGCCACCGTATTATGATACAAATGTAGTACAATTACGTAACTATTACGTATTCCAAATTTGGTCTTGTTTTTCAGTAAATCTTCATTGTGTTAGCTATTGTTTTTTTTAAATGGATTTGATTCGCTGTCGATCTCACCCTTTCAACTTTCCTTTATTTGTTCAAACCTATAAAAAATAAAAGGATAAGTTTTAGCGTCAAATATATTAAATTTATATATCACGTTTTTTATAATATTATGTCAACTAAACAAAAAGAACTTACAAATTTTCAACGAGGAGAAATTATTGGAGCTTGGAAATGTGGAACAAGTATTAAAAAGATTTCTGAAGTATTATACTATTCTCAGAGTATAATTTATGACGTTATCGCCGCTTACGAAGATTATAATTTAGAGAGACCATGTGAAAATTGTGAAATTATATTATCATCATATAAATGGTGTGAACCATGTCAAATAATACAAATGGAAAAGTTGATTAGTGGTAATAAAAAAATTGATGATTTTATTGACCAAATATTAATTTTAAACGTTCATGTTGATAATATAATAGTTTTTGAATGGATATCATATAATCAATTTGATAATATTAAAGAATTATATAATGGTAATTTTGTTAAAATATATTCTGCAATATGGAAGGATGGTCCATTACATTATAATTTTAGGGATATGAAAGGAAAAAGAGAATCAAATAAAAAGGTTACTTTAAAATGTTTATATGATTCACAAAATATGATTAATGATTTTTTGAACAAGGTATGAAATTTTCTAAATAATTTAATTTTTATTTTTTTATTTAAGAAAAAAAAAAAAAAATAATAGATATTCACACATTTTCACACATTTCTTTTTAATCTTTTTAATCACAGGCCAAGTCATATGTTATAAATGAAAGTAATCTTAATTTAAAATTATATGGAATATCTCAAAATCCAGATACGAACGATTATATTATGGTTCTGCAAGATGAATATTACGGGAAGTACGAAATTATGGAGGATGAATGGTGTAAATTATACAAAATGAATTATTTGAAAGTAAATTTCACAGTCTGGTTAAGTGATGATGAAATAATTGATGATTTTATTCAAAAAATGGAATTGAAAATTAATAAATCAAGTGACATAAGATTTGAATGGATACCATACAATCAATTTATTAATATTAAAGAAGTAGGAAAAGGGTATTTTACTAAAGTATATTCTGCAATATGGAAAAGTGGTCCATTACATTACGATTTTAAAAATATGAAAGGAACGAGAGAATCAAATAAAAATGTTACTATAAAATGTTTTGATAATTCGCAATATATGATTGACGAATTTCTGGACATGGTATGTAAACTTTTTAATAAATATTTTAGTAAATCTGTACAATAAATAATAATACTTACAGTATATCTTTAATAGGTTAAAACATGCCCATTTAATAGAATTAATGGAATCCTTGGAATATCTCAGAATCCGTTTACAAAAGATTATGCCGTGGTACATCATGGTGAATATTGTGAAAAATGTGGTCAAGAATATACAATCCTGATATACAAATGGTGCAAACCATGTCGAATAAATGATTTAAAAGCAAATTTTGTAAACTGGACAAGCGGAAATGAAGAAATCGACAATTTCATTCAAGAAATGCAATTAAATCTCGATCATATTTTCAATTCTTCATTATTTCAATGGATACCATACAATGAATTTTATGATATTAAAGAAAAAAAGGATGATTTTTATACGGTATATTCAGCGATATGGAAAAATGGTCCGTTAAATTATAATTTTAAGGACTTGAATATGGTAACGATGAGAGATTCAAACGAAAGGGTTACTTTAAAATATTTTTATGACATCCAAAGTATGATTAATGAATATCATAGCAAGGTACGAAATTCTTGCGTAAAATTTGTTTTAATACTATTCTTATAATAAAATTATATATATTTTTTAATAGGATAATTTCATAAATATATATGGAATATCTCGAGATCTGAATACAAAAGATTATATTATAGTTTTTCAGGATGACCATTGTGGAAAATGTGGGAAAGAATATACAAAGGCAAAATATAGATGGTGTAATCCATGTCAAACAAATTATTTAAAAATGAATTTTACAAATTGGACCAGCGGAAATAAAAAAATTGATGATTTTATTCAAGAAAAACAATTAAAGTGTGAATATATTTTCAATTCTTCATTAATATTTCAATGGATACCATACGATAATTTTAATGATATCAAAGAAATAGCAAAAAGTGATTTTGATACAGTAAATTCAGCAATAATGGAAATGGATCTATTGCATTATAGTTATGATAGAAAAGTGTTAAAATTGGTTGCTTTAAAACACATACATGACTCTCAAAATATGATTGACGATTTTTTAAAAGAGGTATACAATTTAATTTTAATATTTCTATAATACTTATATTTAATAATAATTTTTTATATTCTCATATAGGTTGAATCATATTCAATGAATATAATCGATCCCCTTGTTGGTAGATTCAAAATATATGGAATATCTCAAGATCCAAGTACAAAAGATTTTATCATGGTTCTTAGGGATAAATATTGTGAAAAATGTGGAAAGCAATATGAAGAAATGGTATATGAATGGTGTAAATCATGTCAAATAAATGATTTAAAAACAAATTTTACGAATTGGACTAGTGAAAATGAACCAATTGATTATTTTATTCAAGGAATGCAATTAAGAATTGTACATTCATTAAATATAATATTTGAATGGATACCATATAATCAATTTTATGACATTAAAAAAACAGGAAAAAGTGATTTGAGTAAATTACAATTAGATATGGAAATAGTAGATTTAAGTTTAGATCCTGATATAGCAGAATTAGCAGTGTGGAAAGATGGTCCATTAAATTATAATAAATCTAAAAGGGAATTAATGAGAAAACCAAATACAAAGGTCGCTTTAAAATATTTACAAGACATAACTAAATTATTAAATGAGGTATTAATTTTTTATTTATATATTACTTTTTTTTTACAATATTGAACATATATAATAATTTTTTTTGTTTATTTCAATAGATTACTAATTATTCCGTTGATGGAAGTGAAGACAATGAACTTAAAGTATATGGAATATCTCAAAATCCGGACACAAAAGATTATATTTTGGTTCTTCAGAATGAGTATTGTGAAATATGTTATGAACAATATGATAGAATAAATATAAAAGATGAATGGTGTCAGTTTTGCCAAACAAATTACTTAAAAACTGATTTTAAAAATTGGACCAGTAAGAATAAAGTGATTGATGATTTTATTCAGGAAGTACAGTTGAAAATTTATAACCCAGATCAAATAATTGAATGGATACCATACAATCAGTTTAATGATATTGAAGAATTAAATAAGAGTAATACGTTTACAATGTATTCAGCAATATGGAAGGATGGCCCATTATGTTATAAAATGAAATGGATAAGAGAACAAAATAAGAAGGTTATTTTAAAATGCATGCATAACTCTCAAAATATGATTAATGAACTTTTATATAAGGTATGAAATTTTTATACAATTTTATTAAAAACTTCTTTCGTTAATAATATTTTATTTTATTAGGTTAGTAAGGCACAACTCATTAAAATTACATGCGGTGTATCACAAAATCCAGATACAAATGATTATATTATGGTTTTTCGAGATGGTTATTGTGAAAAATGTGGTGAAGAATTTACAAGTCTAATGTATAAATGGTGTAAACCATGTCGAATAAATGATTTGAAAGTGAATCTTAATTGGTTCTGTGGAAATGAAAAGATTGATAACTTCATTCAAGAAATACAATTAGAATTTAATTATATTTTTAGTACTCCGTATTCATTATTTCAGTGGATACCATATAATGAATTTTATAATATTAATGAAATAAAAAGAAATGATTTTGATGATTTCGATAAAATATATTCAGCAGTATATTTTGAAAAGCAAAAAGAAAACTTATTACATTATGGTTATAAAGAGGTATTAAGAAAGGTTACTTTAAAATATTTACATAACTCTCAAAATATGATTGATGAATTTTTAACTATGGTATGAAAAAATTTTGATATTCAGTATATGGTTATAAATATAATGAAACTTTTTATAATATTAAAATTTATTTTGTTTTATTTTAACTGTTAATAGGTTAAAAATAATATAATTAGTAATAGTTTTAAAACATGTGGAATATCTCAAAATCCGGATACAAAAGATTATATTATGGTTCTTGAGGATAATATTTGTAAAAAATGTGGTACACAATATAGATATATATGTAATTCATGTCAAGTAAATGATTTAAAAGTGAATTTGACTAGTAATAGCAGATTTATTGACGATTTTGTTCAAGAAATACAATCAAAAATTAATAAATCAAGCGATATAATATTTGAGCGTGTACCATACAATCAGTTTTATAATATTAATAAGATAGGAAATGATTTAAATATAGCAATATGGAGGAATGGTCCATTATATTATGATACTAATACAGGAAAATCCATAAGAAATTCATATAAAAAAGTCGCTTTGAAGTATTTCAATAACTCATCACAAGATATGAATAAACTAGATGAGGTAAGATAAAATTAATATAACGTTTTTTTTCAACATTAATATTAATGTAGATATATATATACTATGTGTTTTTTTTTAAATAGGTTATAAAACATTATAATAATATGGATAATAATAGTCTTGAAGTTTATGGAATATCTCAAAATCCGTTTACAAAAGAATGTTTTATAATTTTTCAAGATGGATTTTGTGAAAAATGTAATGAACAATATGCAGATATAGAGAATAAATGGTGTAAAAAATGTCAAATAAGTAATTTAAAAGAAAATTTTACAAGATGGACTAGCGGAAATAAACAAATTGATGCTCTTGTTCAAGAAATACAGGTAAAAGTTAATAAATCAAGTGATATAATATTCGAATGGATACCATACGACCAATTTAATGATATTAAAGAAATAGGAGAAGGTGGATTTGCTAAAGTATATTCAGCAAAACGGATACATTCAGGAATAGTAGAATTAGATGAAGGTGATACATTTTCAATAAATAAAGTAACAGATAAAATGGTTGCTTTAAAATGTCTATATAACTCTCAAAATATTACTAATGAATTTTTAAACGAGGTATGAAAACTTTTTTTATAAATTTAATTTTTGATAATTCTTTCTTTTAATATTTAATATCTGTCTTATATATATATAGATCAGGGCATATTCAATTGATAACAGTTTTCTTACTTCAAATATTCTTAAAATATATGGAATATCTCAAAATCCGGATACAGAAGAATATATTATAGTACTTCATTATGCGGGAGGTGGTAATTTTAATGATTGGATGAATAAACATTATAAAAATTTTGAATGGAATGATAAAATTGAAGTATTATTCAGTATTATTAATGGTCTTAAAGAAATTCATCAAAATCAGATGGTTCATCATGATTTTCATCCAGGGAATATATTGTTTAAGGATAATGTATCTACTTATGTATATAGTATAAGTGGTATATGTATTTCGGATATGGGTTTGTGTGGAGAAGTTGGTAGTATGAGTAATGAATCAAAATTATTTGGAGTTATGCCTTACATGGCTCCTGAAGTATTAAGAGGTGAGCCTTATACTCAAGCAGCTGACATATATAGCTTTGGTATGATCATGTATTTTATAGCAACTGGAAGACAACCTTTCTCAAATTGTGTACATGATCATTATTTAGCATTAGATATATGTAAGGATGGAATTAGACCTACAATAAATGAACTAGAAGCACCAAAATGTTATATTGATTTAATGAAAAAATGTTGGGATACAAATCCAGATAATAGACTAAATGCTATTGAAATACAAGAAATTATTAAAATGTTTAAAGAACAAAAACATTATGAAATTGAAAGGCAATTTAAGGAAGCAGAAGAATACAGGGAGGTGGAAGAATATAGAAAAGCAAATCTTACACTTGATGAAAGTAACCAATTGACCACTCATTCACAAGCCATTTATGTATCTCGATTACTTAATACTGAGTGTTATGATGATTGTATAATCAAGGATTAGATATCAATAATATATTGTTTATATACAGTACATACTCTATAAAAAATTTTATCCATTATTTCTGCAAAAACTCCACAAAAATGAGCCTTTCATGGATCCATTCACAGAAAATGTAAATAAATCGATAAATTCCGTGATATAAGGTTATTAATTCCGGAAATATGAGCCTTTTACAGAAAAAAATCGGAATATAAAAAAACGGATCAACTTTCTTTACAGGGATAAAATTAATTTTATAAATATTATAGTTTATATTTAAATAAATTATATAAATTTTTTTTATTGCAATTTGTTCTATATATAAGAAATTTCTATTTATTATTAAATAAATTAAATATCGTTTGTTAATTTATACAATTATACTAATATCATATGACTAATAAAGAACAACAAAGGAAAAAAGAGTAAACAGCTACTGACAGCTTAATAGAAAAACCAGAAAAACAAGCAATTACATCTATTTAAATATCATACAATTTCTTCTCACAAAATTTAGAAATATTCCTTGGTATTTTCCTATTCCTTAAAGAATTGAATATGATTGATCAGATTTAAATTAATTATGTCATTTTAAATAATATATACACTTATATTTTACATGTTTTTACATTCTCTTGCCATGTTCTATTAAATGTAATTCCAAGAAATGGAAGGAAGTTTGAAGAAGTCCATGCATCAAGTGCAAATGCAAGATGACCCAGAGCATTCTATTAATATTCTATTGTGTAAGAATTATTAAATGAAAAATAGAGGTACCAAAAATACCTGTAAATTTTATTTATCTCTTCCTTAAATGCATCTATAATATCATTGCGAGCTGTATCTGCTGATATGTATGGTTTTAATATTAGGGAATAATAATCAAAATATTTTTTGAAGTTGTTCATTTTCTACAACTGTAAAAGGTTGATCGTCACAGACGATCTATTTAGTGATAAATTCATAAAATATTGTTGCAGTATAATGCTAAATTTTTATTAATATTTTTTATTTATTATTATCCATTTCACCAGTGCTTTCTGCTTTATGTTCAACTTTACTGGGATGTTTCTTTTGTAAGTGTTTGTGAAGATTCATTGTGTTTCCACTAGCTCACTTATACTTAGCGCTTAATTATTTAAATTGACACAATTTTATATACAAAATGATTAAAAAATTATTACAAACAATATACTTACTTGCAGTAATTACATTGGGCTTTTGTTGATTTCTCAACCAACATAAAGTGAGACAAAACTGTACTAATAGTTTGTGAAGAACCACCAGAACTTAAATTTTCAGTCATTTTAAACTGATTAACATATAAATTGGGAAGTTTTAATACTTGAAGGAAAAAAAATTGATATAATTGATATAAAAAAAGATCATTATGGATAATCTAAAAAATATAGATAATCATAAATAATCAATATGAGTTACACGAGTTGAGTTGATTTTGATTTCAAATCAAAATTGACTTGACTTATGACTAATTTGTGACTCAACTTGTCATATCAATTTGGGAAAATTATTATCAAATCGAACTTAACTTGACTCAACTCGACTCATGACTAGATCTGAATTTACTCGACTCATTCAGAGCACTATTTTTAGGTATGAATCTAATGAATCATATGTTCTGAAATGGATTGTGAAGTATTGGTATATTGATAAATTATTAACATTGAATTTGAATGCATTGCTATCATTAATTAATGCTAATTTGATGATGTTAATAATTTCATTATTACTAAGATTTTTTTGAAAACTATCCTGTAAAATGAAAAGTTGCGCTAATTGCTCAAATAGGTTAGCAATCACAGTAATGTTATTATTGTTTTGTTGTATATCAAATGTATTAGATGTATTTGCAGGAGATTTTCCTTTATTGATATTAGTTTCAATCGGATCTTTGTCTATAAATGTAATACCTTTATTTATTTATTTATATTATGTGAAGTTAGGATAGACAAACAACCAGGATATATACCCTCGAAAGGGAGTTAATCCTACTTCTTGCTATCATCCATTCTAGAACAGACCCGAACTTCTATTTAAATGGTAACCAGATATCTCCTGTGCTATGACCAACATAGGAGCGGCCCAAGCAATGACATATGATGAACAAAATAAAAAGGGGAGTTCTAATCTATCATCCGTATTTTTCTTTTAACCAATGAAATACTAATAAAATGTAATACCTTCGTCTATTGGTGTTTACATGTGAACATTTTTGATGTGGTCACATTCACATGATGAAATGTCCTTTTTAGAAAAGAAAGAGTGCTCCAGAAGCGAAGTTTTAGTGTCCATATGGACTGTATTGTAGTGTGAAGTCAAAGGTAAAGGAGTATTTGGGGTGTTGTAAGAAGTCATAATTGTATTATTAGCTTTGGTAGAGAAGGTATTGTAAATATCTTCTTCACTTGAAGTGGTACAGTGAGATTTTTTTATATTTTTTAAAAATTTTTTTGAAAATTTTCATTTTATATTAAGGCCATTCCAAATTAATAATTAGTTTAATGTCCTTTCCAGCCAAAAATTTTGAGGGGGGGAAGGGATAATTTAAACAAACATGAAAATTAAACATATTAAAAATTTCAGAAATTTTTGGTAAAATCAGAAATTCTCAGTACTATTAAATTTTAGTAAAGAAGGGGGTGTTTTAAGCATATTTAAACATATCAAACATATATATATGTTTAAATCACCCTTGAATTTTTCAAAAATAGAGGGAGGAGGACATTAAACTAAAGATTAAATTGGAATGGCCTAAAACTCATACAAGAAGATGCGCAAATAGATGTAAAATTCAAAAATGTGTTAGAAAATTAGTGTCACAAAAGAAAAAATGTATGTTTAATAGAAAATTTTTTCTTGGAAATTTTTGGTTGGAAATGATCATCTGAAAGAGTTTTTTTTTTTAGCTAAATTATTCATTGCTACTGTTATGATAAAATATTATGAGACAGAATCATGTGATGTAGCTGTTGATCAATAGCAATTACTAATGTCACATAATGGATCTTCCCAGCGTTGCTCCAAGATTTTTCATCCCTATGTAAGGTTGCCTGCCTAAACCTCTCCAAAATTCTACAATTAGTTTCTCCAAGATTTTACTATAGTTTTATTATAGTTTTGGCAAAATTTTAGCAGTTTCAGCATTTATAATAAGTTTCGTCATGTTTTGCTTTTCTCCAGGGTTTTGCCAACTTTTTAATAAGACTTTCATATAGTTTCAGCAAAGTTTCGCCATTTCAGCATTTTGCCAACTTGCCAAAACTCCCTAGTTTCTCCAGCAACCTTACCCCTATGTGACCTGCATAAGATGTCACCCTGTGTCAACACCCATCATTTTCATTTTTTCGTAAAAAAACTTTTTTTCACGCCTCCTTAAACATTACTGGTCACATGGAGATGGAATTTTACTTAGAAATCTTGGGTGATACTGGGGTAAATCACATAATGGGAAAATCTATGACTCAATGTTCAAAATGTTTGATATATAAAATATATCAAATATATTGCACATATTGCACATATGGCATATATGTCACATATCAAACATTTTAAACATTTTTAGTTTAGTGTTTTTACATATAAATAGATGCATTATTTTTTGATGTAATTAGATAGATATCCAAGCACTAAGATATTAAGTGATATTTACTGATATTAAATAAAAATATATTTTATTGTTATTAATCTCTTTGGTTATCTCATTGTTATTTGTTGTCATATACACTTAACCCATTGTTTTATTGTCATTTATTGACATAATCCTTTATTTGTGTCTGATCATATTTGCCACTGGGAGTGCAATACTTTATTCACATCTGATCAGATTTGAAGACATTTTGGTCAATTGTGATTTGGAGTTAATTTATGTTTATTAATTTTTGTGTTAATAATTGTTATATTTACTTATACATATATACCTTCTGCTTACCCTAATTAACCTTTCATTTATTTTATAAACATTAAAGAATTGATACTAACACTACTTTATTACCATTTTCTGCTGCTTTTGATACCAATAAAAGGCTTTTTCTAAATTCTTTTCTGTTCCTTCTCCATTTT